CCTGCAGCAGCGAGGGCGCGGCCCAGGGCGGGGAGCCGCCTCTAGGCCCGGCCGCCGCCGCCAGCGCCTCTAGGCCCGGGAGGCCGAGCCGCGAGCCGGGCGCCACCGCGCCGAGCACCCATCGGGTCTCGGCGATCCCGGCGCGGTCCCGGGGGCTCCGCGACCTCCCCTCCTCCCGCCGCCCGGCGAGCGCCGTCCCCAGCGTCAGCGGGGCCGCTACTCCGGCCCGGCGGCGGCGGCGGCTCCGCCGCCTCCCACGTGGCATCGGCGCGGCGGCTCCGGGCGGCGCGCGCGGCGGGGGCGGGCCCCAGCTCCGAATCCCCGCCTCAGCTCCGAATCCCCGCCCCAGCTCCGAATCCCCGCCTCAGCTCCGAATCCCCGCCTCAGCTCCGAATCCCCGCCTCAGCTCCGAATCCCCGCCTCAGCTCCGAATCCCCGCCTCAGCTCCGAATCCCCGCCCCAGCTCCGAAACCCCGCCTCAGTCCGGCCCCAGCTCCGAATCCCCGCCCGACCCCGGCCCCGCCCGATCCCGGCCCGCCCCCTGAGGTTCCGCGATCCCCGGAACTTTCCATGGGTTTGTCCCGTGTGGCATTGAAATACCTGGACTGGAGCACAGAAAGGATAATTCTCTGTCGCTCTCTCTCTAAAAAAATGACCCCCAATACTGGTGTATATATGTGCATGCTATATATATACACACAGATATATATACACGCACCATATAAATATGTACTGTTGTATATACTCTATGCTATATAATATATATGCACGTTGTATATATAACTTCTGTAAGGATATGTAGTTGACTGTAGCAGTCCCCATTGTCATTATATCACTTCTCCCTGCCTGTATAAATAAGCATATTTTTCTCATAATATAAAAATGCCTTTTGGTTTTTTTTGGACGCTGTCACGGAGATTAATCTATCCTAGCTAAGCACTGAGTAGCCAAACTGGGCAAACAATTGCCAAGACTTCTCAAGGTGCTTTACTGACTGACCTACAGAGCCCCACACCAGGTAAGAAATGGGGGAATATGAAGACTTTGCAAAAGCTGCAGCCCTCTGTGCAATTTCTTCCTAGTCACATCCAAATGTTTTGTATGGCACAACCATACACATCTTACTGATGTCACTCCCAAAACACAGGAAGGCTTCTGTAGTAACAGGACCAGGCCATCACAGTCACTTGGTCACCAAGCTGGGTGAAGGTTCAACCYCATTGGAGCCAAAGCTGGGTGCTGGCTCCTTGTGTGCACTTATGCACCCACTCCACAGCTGCTTCTACAAACACTTGTGGAGCACTTTCTCTTCCGGAAGAGCAGCCTAGAGTGCTGTGCTGAAATGTCTATAGATCAATTTCACTGCAATACAGTTTTGTAAAAAAAAAATAACAGCTTGTTCATTTTCACAGTAAGAGTGGAAGAGATACATTTTAGATAATAGTCTTTTTGTACAAAAAATCAAATCTCAGGAATGGCAAAGTTAGGAATTCTTCTGTAAGAAAAAAGTAAAGTAAAAGTGTGACTTTTGGGGATTTTAAAAATGCTTAATAAATTTGAAAGAAATAATTGAAGTAACAAAAAGCTACTATTTTCCAAATCACCCTTATTTTCAGGGATTTGTTCTGAAGTCTGAACAAAACAGGCTTTGTTTAAYTCTTGAGATGAATACACTCCCATTTGGATAAACAATTTTTTTTTTAATTCAACCAAAACAGATGGCAGTATCTCCTTCCAATTTCAGTTTAATGGGGCATTATAAACCGGACATTGTAAATAATAATAATAATAGCATAATTTATCTAAAACTTACCCATTCAACGGGCTTGTTATTGAGTGAGATAATAGGCATTTACACAAAGTCTATGAAAATTTTCAGAAGTTAACGTTTTCTTGATTAGAAACTAGAGCCCACTAGAGCTCAAGCCTATTTCAGGGTAGTGCTGCCAGGTCTCACAATATTGCTGTTCATAGAGATAATGAAAAGAAACTTTAAAAAAATCAGTAAGTGCTTTTATTGCTGTTTCCCTTGAAAGATGCAGATCAGCAGCTCAGACCAGTAGTGAAGTTGTCTACATGAAGCATCTCTATATATATGCTGCATTTATGTTTTGAATTACAGCTGTGATCCAGGTCACTGTCTCATAAAAACTACACTTTTTCAGAGAAGCTTTCATGAAGAAAACCGGCTGGGCAGTAGTAATACCTGAGCTGAAGCAGGTGGAAATAAGAACGCTTTGCCTCCATTTAGAGTAGCTACTTGTAAGCTGACGTATGCTCCTAACTATGCCCTTATCTGATCGTTTGTCTCCTTTCACAGGCTGTGTGTGCCGTGTGTAAGGATCTGAATTGGAAACTTGGAGGTTTGCCTGCTGGCAACTGGCTCTGCCCAAGAGTATCAGCTCTTCAAACTGGGCACCTCACAGAGAGCGGCAGGAACTGTTTCTGGTGGATTTTGGAGGCAGATGTGATTGTCCTCTCTACTCCTCATATGATGAGCTCCTTATGGCTCTACATTTCCCTCTCTACCTTTTTCCCCATGTCTTCCTGTCCMTTTATGTTCTCATGATTTGTTTGTAGAGGGCAAAAGAAGTGCATACTTAGACCCACACATCTGTATAGTTGTATAGCAAATGTGTCTCTCAACCAAATTGTTAGCATGGRCACAAAACTGCAGAAACAAATGCAGATCATTGTTTTATGCTTCAGACCTTCTTTTGAGTCTCAAGCATGAGACCTTATTGAAGGCATTAATGAGGAGACAAAAATGAAGCTTTAAACAGAAGCAGCTGCAACCTTAGCTGTGGAGGAACTTGGAATTAGGCAATAGGACAGTTTACTAAAATAAGAGGGAAAAGCTACTTTGCTGACAAAAAAAAAAGAAAGAAAAATCTCATTTGGAAACATTACCTTAAACCAGAACACCTCCCTTTGAAAGTGTATGGACTTGTGTGGTGTTTGCTCTTTATRAACCTTAAACAATGCAACAGAGGAGAGAACTGTCCACTCTATTGATGAAACCAGAAAATGCTGCCATAGAGCATKTACCTGCACTGGTTCCAGGACGCCAGAGAGAACAACACAACCCGGCACTAGGGCTAGAAGAGAAAATGCAGCATGAGGAGAAAATAACTCCCGTGTCATGCTAGAGCACTTTCTTTTCAAAATAACCAGTCTTTTTCTAGGGAAATTTTCTAAGAGCTACCTGGGACAGTTTGGGGGATACTGGAGGGTTTATAGAGCTGATGGGTTTTCAAGTCAAAAGAAGGATGCTTAGGCCCCATGGAATCAATAGTCTAACTGTGAGTTCATCTGAGATGGGAGATTCACCACTTGCTCAGGTGTTGTTGGGCTTCTTCCACTTATTCCATAAATAAAAGTATAGGTCAGAAAGAAAAACAGGATTTGGTTTTGTCTGTTTTGCTTTCCAAATTGAAAAATGTAATGGCTGTAGTGTTCACTGACACAATAACCACAAAACTGAAGGCACCCATGAAGCTAAKAAAGTTGAAACCAAGTAAATTGGTCCTGTCAGGGACCCAGAAAGAACCTGACAAGCATCACTGCCGAACTGCTTCCAGTGAGAGGAGGATTCTAATACTCCCAGCTGGGGGTAGGGGCAGCAGTCAGATTCTGCAGCTGAGGGGCAGCTTCCTTTGCTCCAGGTGAGGAAGGAGCTGGCTGCTTCTATGGRGCTGCATGGTATCATCCCTCTCTGCGTTCTATTTCTGCATTTCTTTACAATTTTGCTTTTCCCAAGTTTRTTCTGTTTCTCTGGTAAAGGTTTCCTTGCCTATGCTTGAAGTAGGAGCAGAAAAAGTCTCAGTGGAAGACCAGGCACGTTTAGCTAGTTGTTTGGTGTAGGTTTAGCTTCACTGGTCCCACTCTTTTCTTTTTTGTGGCCATGAGGTGCTCAGCAGAAGAGTTACAGGTCTCAGGTGACCCATGCTGCCTGTGTCACTCCCGTCCATGTGCTCTCAAAGCAGGCACATGGATGTGAGTTTTGGCTGAGGACGGGAAGATGGGAAGAGAGACGTGGGCCAGAATAGTTACATGCCAAGCTCCGCTGAAGACCCTGTCCCGCGTTGTGCACGCTGTGAGCATCCTGTCTACTGCTGGAAGCTCTTCCTGAAGACACCATCTCTGCCCGATACAGCCAGGGTGGACGGGGGTCCGAAAGCAGCAGCCGGGGCAGGAGTGGGACGCGGCGCCGGGCTCAGATGGGTCCCGAGGCTTGGCTGCACCTCGGGAACGATCGTTCCGCACTAYAGCTATCCGCCGCTACTCGATCCCTCCCCAAAACGCAACCGCACCGTCCCAGTGCGGCCGCGCCCGGGACCCGCAGCGCCGGTGCCCGCGCAAACCGGCGGSGCTGCCGCCCCCGCTCCCTCGACGTGGGCGTCCCGCGGTGACACCGAGAGCGGCTCTCCGCGCTCCGTGTSGGGAGGCAGAAAGGTCCCGTCGCCGCCGGACTCGACGGGGTGTGTGTGCGTGGGGCGGCCCGCGGCTTCCCTGTGCATCGCGGCCGAGGGGGGAGTGACTCTGGCAGCCCGCGGCGAGCCCAGATAAAAGCTCCGCTACTGCCGTCTTCCCTCCCCTTTTCTCTCGCAACTTTTTTTTTTTTTTTCCCCTCCCTCTCCCTCCCAGCAAAGTGACCGCGCCGGCGGCAGCCCCGGAGCAGCCCCAGCCCGGACGCCGCCATGAGCCCCGCGGTGCCGCCGTCGGGCCGCGCCGCCGCGGGCTGAGCCCGGACGCGAGGGACGCCCCGAGAGCCGCCCCGCGCCGCCGTGGCGGGGGCTGGTGGCAGAGGCAGCGAAAGCCCAGGCAGGACCCCCGGCCGCCCCGCCGTGCCCGGGGCAGCGCCCGCCGCGATGTCGGCGCAGAGCCTGCTAAGCAGCGTCTTCTCCTGCTCCTCCCCGGCCGCCRCCGCCCCCGCCGCCGCCAAGAGCCTCTCCAAGCGGAGGCTCCGCCAGACGCGCAGCCTCGACTCCGCCATCATCGGCGGCGGCCGGGAGGACGGCGAGGGCGCGGGGCGGGCGCCGCGGGCGCGGGCCGCCGGCAGCCCCCCGGGGGAGCGCCGCGGTGTTCGGGGCGCCGCACCGCCCCACGGCGCCTCCTTCTCCACCCCCAGCACCCCGCTGGAGCGGTCGCCGCCGGGCAGCGCTCTCTTCGACGAGGAGAGCCTCCGCGGGAAGCGGAGCCCCGTSTGCGAGCTGCCCTTCCTGGCGCGCACCCCCTCGGCCCTGGCGCTGAGCGGCACCGCCAGCCCCGCCAACAGCATCTTCTCCTCGCCCCGGCGCTGGTTGCAGCAGAGGAAGGGGCAGCCCTCGCCGCCCGAGTCGCGCCCCGCCGCCTACGTCGTGTGGAAATCCGAGGTAGGCACGCCCGCCCCCGGGGGACGGGCACCCGCCGCGCCGCCCTCGCCCCCGTGGTGCTGCGCCGCCCGCCCGCCCCGGCGGGTCCGCTCCGCGGGGCTTTCAGTGCCCACCCGCTGGTGGGTGCGCGGCTCGGCGAGACCCGGCGCGGATCCGCCCCGTGCGGCGCGGCCGTCGAGGCCGCCGTGGGTGTTGGTGCCGAGAGCTGGCATCTGCGGCGCTGGAGGGTCGGATATTTGAGGTTCCCTCGACGGGTTCCATGTGTAGTTGTCCCAGGCCTGTAAAGCCTTCCCCTCCCAGTTTCACACCTCTTAAACCGAAGTATGTGATGGCTTCTAACAAGACAGACAAATTATTTTCAATGTGCGCACCCAGTGAGCTGTGATTTATTTGACAACACACGTGTCAAAACCACATGAGGAGCGATTGTATTCCAAGACAAATCCAACTTTGCAATGCAAATATTTATTCGTTTAACTTGGATGTCGTCGATGTTGGGCTGCAGATACCGTACCATGTGGACGAATGTTTTCAAAAAAATGTGGCATTGTTTCRTGGTAGTGATTGCTCACTGAGCTGCTTATGCTAAAGAGCTGTGTAGCAGAAGAGGAAGAAATGTTTTTGTTTTAAGAAATTCTCCCTCCTTGTTCATGGTGATGAGGTTTCTCACTTAACTGTTTAGTGATGCCTTCTGGAGCACTGGGATCAGAAGCGAGCCTTTTCCTTTCCATTTCCATTTCCATTTCCATTTCCATTTCCATTTCCATTTCCATTTCCATTTCCATTTCCATTTCCATTTCCATTTCCATTTCCATTTCCAAAGATGTACTCCCTGTAAATAGCCAGAAACAAACAGATCCACCTATTGGTGGATCCCATTGTTGCTGTGGGTTGCAGAAGTTGTTGTAAAATGGTTACCTTAGACAGTGATCTGAGATCCAAAGCCAAACTATCCACCATGRTAGCACAAGATTACAAAATGTAGTTTTTAAGGGGAAAGGCTGCCTCTTATCCTTAGCTCCCATATTCCCCTCTTTGCTTGGAGTATAAAAGTTGTCAATGCCTGCTACTTGGGACAGTGTCAACCTGTGGATGGCGACTTCAGGCATGATGCTGGCTAATGTTGAAATAGGAGATGAAGATTTTTARCAGTTGTAAAAAATGGATTGTTATGAAGTCTTGTAATCAGAAGTTACCGTATTTCATGTTGATGCTTGAATTTTAAGATAGTAAAAACTAATGATGTCAAAGAACTTTGTGGGAGTTGCAGCATCAGTGGCTAAAAAATTCCAGCGGAGAACAGGTGGTCACACTAATTAAGGGTAAGTTTAGTGCTTATCCACTTTTTATTTGATTAGGTACATCAAAAAGTATAAAATACGTAAGATTTTCTGTGCAGTTTCCTGACTGAGTCCAAGACTCACAGCATGGTCTCTGATAAGTAAATCTAAGCAGATCTTCTTGTTTTCACTGAATCTATGAGGCATTTTTTTCAGTTACGTATGTTGTCAAAACACATAGCACGGCCCATCTTCAGACTGCTCATTCAAAAGTACTGGCTTCTTTCTTAATTTGGTGTGTGTCTAGGATTTCTAAAGAGTCAAACCCTTTTTTGGGAAGGGTATCATTGTCTCAGCATTCATGGTGGTGAGGCTGTGATGCAGCAGCATGGTGTGCAGGGCTCCTACAGTGGGTCGGTGTTGTCACTGTGAATTGGTAGCATTTTATGTCAGTTGTCGTTTAACGTGATGCATTCTAGTTTCAGACTTACTATTTTCAAGATGTTATACAAATATGAACTTAGTTATTCAACAAAGACAGTTACAAATCATATTAACCTAAATTTTAGAAGAAAGTACACATACATAATTTTGATCTTATTCCCCCTCTTATTTTAGGTAGTCATCCTAATGGTCATTCGGTCTGSTCTTATTATAAAATAGCATTATTAATGAAAGATTTTGTTTTTTGCTTCCTCTTTAGTATTTATTTGAAAAGGTTCAGTTTTTTGGAAGCAAAGGATTTTTTTTGTCTCTGCAGTTTCATCCTAGCTGTGGCAAAGTGAGCGTGCTCAAGGAGGTAAAAAATCCCACGTTTTATTGGGTGAAAAGGAAATAACTGTTTATAATGTAACTTTAAAAAGTCCCATTATTCAAATTATTGTATTCTCAGTAGGAAATCTGTAGTTCCATTTCTTTTCAACTTAGAAAATGAAATACATCACAATGATGATTTTACTCGGCTGTGAAAGACAACTCAATAGATGACTGCCTAATGAAAATGAACATCAAAAGTTTTGGTTGTAATATTAGTTGGGAATAAAATAAATGTTCATTGCAAAATCTCTTCTCTTCACCTTCATTCCAACACCTTCACTATAATTGCTCTTTTTGGAAAATATTTCTGTAGAGCCACTGTGGAAGCAAYAGGGTTGTGCACTAGGAGATAAATGTGGGTAATATTTTCTCTCCCTCTACCTTAATCTCTAAACGAGTAAAGAAAAGTAAAAATACCATGGAGATTTCCTCTTCAGAACCTCCTCAAAATTACAGCTTCAGGGCAGGGCCTCCTGCACCTATGCCATGCTGGATTGGCATCTAGAGGGACATGTTGAAGGTGGGGTTTGTGCTGGGACATTGGTGCCTTGGGGCTGCAGGAGTAGAGGCACCTAGCCCAGCTCTGGTCAGCTTTTAAAGCATGCATGCCCCACTGGTCTGGGAGTTGTGTATATGAGGCCAAAATGTCCATACTAGCTTTGATACGAGGCCCGGAGAATAGAATAGATTGCTTATTATCCCTCTTTATAACTGTAATTCTTTGACTTCCACATTTATACCACAGGCCTGTCTGCTGGTCTCGGGAGAGAAAGATTGCTGCTAAATTCATGCCACCATTCATGAATAATTTTTAAYGAAATGCCTGAATGCCCAGGGGATTTCCAGGTTTTGGCAGCTGGTTACACCTAAAGGTGTTAGCCCTGTGTTTTTAAGTCCACAGGTTTTTGAATGTGAAGCCTCATTTGGCAAATGTGTCTCTCACTATACAGTGACCTGGCACTTCCTTATCGACATGTTGTTTTCTTCACAAGAATATTTTACAACTGTAAAGATTATTTCTGGTAGAGCTTTACTTCAATGACAAGCATTTTTTCACCTTTCTATTTTCTGCTCATGTATATAAGTTGCTTAAATTAAAAAAAAAAAAAGTTCATGGATCTGTGGAAATCAGCAACATTTCCATTGGTTTCAGCAGGACAAGGCCAAGGAGGATTTTTAACCAGGGAAAAAAAAACCATTCAACCTCAATTCCCATCTGGTCTCAGCTGTCTTTTTATGCTATTTTCCTTAAAGAAAATTTACTTTCACTTGCAAAGTTGGGTCTATTATACTTTCATTAAGTGTTTCATATACTCAAGTGATTCTCTAAGTTAACTATCACAGACAAGATGGTAGAAATATCTAGAAATACCTTAATGCTTTGATTCTGCCAAAATCGGTCATACATTTAAGTTAGCATATGTGAGTAGTCCYGTACAAGTTAAGGATGCAAGTGTTTGCACTGACTGAAATACATTTGCTGGGTCCAGAATAGCTCAAGATTAATAGATCTGTGTGAAGTCTCAAGTTGTGTTAATTCTTTTGGTTATTTTTCTATTTTGAAGATGGTAATGGAAAGTCACATCACGTGTATAGAGTACAAATCATGTGAATGTATCCCAGCAATCTGTTATGATAAACCAAATCTACACACTTAAATGGCCTGATTGTTTTGCTGTCGTAGTCTATGTGTTGCTAATTAATTAAACATTATCATCTCCAACTAATACACTTTTTTGGGGGGAGAGCTGATTTTGAAGTAATGGTGGCATAACATACGCAGCTTTCCCACCTGCATGCCCTGGCCCCAGCAGCATCCTTMRTTTGMAATTTGCTTCTCAATGAAATTGGGYTGCTGCAGGTGGATGGCTCAGCCCATCCTCACCTCCTCCTCCTGGTTCARCCTGTGATTGCCTTGCTCACTCAGGAAGGCTTTCTGTTGAGCCCTAGGGGAGGAATTTTGCATGGCATGGGAGGGAAGATTGCTCTGGTTCCTCACCAGGTTTTGGAGGAGAAGCCAGGAGTTGTCCAGRCATCTCCTGTGCTTCTGGCTGGCCAAGCTGTGATGAGCTGCAAGGATGCCAGAGAAGCTAATCTACACTATCAGAAAAACATTAATTTAATTGAATTATTTTATAACATGGCCATCAAAAGTGGTAAATGCTCACAGGTAAATGCTCACAGGTAAATGCTCACAGCACAGGTTTCAGCTGACAGGTACCTTGGGAGGTCATCTTTGGTAAATTCACTTGCTTGATCCTTTTAAGGGTTTAAGTTCATTGGGAAAGCAGTGTCAGATTCTCTCTTTCCTGTAGTAAGGTGAGGGTGCCAGCCAGTGACAGGACAAGAGGAAATGGCCTCRAGCTGTGTCAGTAGAGGTTCAGGCTGRACATCAATTGTGAGCACAGTATCTGTAACCCTCAAACACCTTGATACCTAACCCAGAGATTTTGCTGTATGGATAGRAGAGTTGTTGGAAAATATTCCCCTGCAGACCTCTGATTAACTGTCCTGGAAGCAAAATGGGGGTCTAGCATGTTTAAATGGCTAACTTGCATTTTTTTCCATTGAATGGACTTTTTAATGARATGTGTGAGAACTGTGCTTTGGAARATTCTTTTTTTTGTTTYAAAGTAAAAAACTGTGTGTGCTGGTATTCACCAGCAAATGGTTCTGCTTTATTTTCTTCCCTAAGACATCCTAAACCATTGGACACACAGATTAGTTTCAGCCTAAGTCCATCCCATTCAATGCTCTAAAATTCTCTAATTGCAAAATTTGGTGGGCAGGAATGTTGTGGGTCTCTCATGACAGAAATACCATTAAAAATAACTAAATACATTCAATATTTCCGATTCTGGCAAATGCGCTCTTCCCATTCTCAACTAAATGGCATCTGAAGAC